CCTATGCGGTAAACGCATTAAGCCTTTAATTTTCTATTAATTTTTTATAGCTTCTATTAATTACTTCACTTTGTATAATTTCAATATTTTTACGTACCAATCATTCATAATTATACTATATTTTCATCTTTGCAACGTCCAACCACACGCCCCCTTTTTCATTATTTTTAAAATAATCTATACTCTGATAAACAAATAACATAAAAGTACGCTCATTTACTCCAGCCAGGTACTAATTGTGAAATTTAAATATTGGAACCTAAACCTTAAAGTTTATTCGCAATCTCAATAAAAGTGTATTGATTTAGGAAACAAGTTGACACATGGGAGAGCAAACTAGAATTTATGGCTCTAAAATCTCATATATTCTGTCATGATTTTCCACAATTTATTTTTACTGCTATCAATTTATTTAAACGACCATATACAAGCTTGCTAGAGGACCCAAAAATATATAGTAATGATAATAAAAAATAAAATAAAATTGAGCAGTTTATATATAACTCTTTGATTATAATTAAACCTAATATTCACTTTCCATGGGGTTGTGAACAAATATATTCGGACTGATTGACTTTTGCATCTCAAAAATTCCAAATTTCAATCTCAGGGAGTGGAAGTGCTACAAAAAATTCCAGGTCTCTTACATTATTTTGAATTTTAATATTTCAATCTGGTAATCAACTTCTAGTGATACAATTATCAGAAGTACTTTGATAATTGTATGATATATATTTCAAATATTTATTATAAAGAAATGTAATACTACCACATATTTGTATAATTTCTAATTATAACCATACACTATTTATCCAATATATATATTTATATATTTGTATAATTAAAAAAGGATATAAAATCGAGAAAATCAAAGAAGCATAAAAAAGGAAAAGTTGCAATACATGCATATGTACTTGTTGGGTCAATATAAGACTAGCAGTTGGTACAGTTCAAGTTGAAACAATGGCATGTGCATTTTAGGTCTTTTGAAAAACCCAAAATTTATTTTGATTCATCACTTTCTAAAATCTTATACTTTAATTATATTTTATTTATTTATTTATTTATTACTTTCATATCTCATTTTCTCTTGTTGGTCCTAAGGTGCTTTCTCTATATAAATAGAGTTCTCATAGTCCAACATATTAAGCTCAAGCCTTCAACTCTATATATCTCTTCTCAATTCTATACAAATTTACACATCTCCATTTTTGCCATCTTTCTCCAACTCTATGGATTCTTCTCTATTTTCTCTTCTAATCTTGTCGATTGTCGGCTTCTGCTTACACGGTACTTATGGCGATTACGGAGGATGGAACACCGCCCACGCCACTTTCTACGGCGGAGGGGATGCATCTGGCACAATGGGTAATTTTTACGTGCATGAACTTCAGATGTATGCATACATTGTATTTGCACAAAATTTCATAATTTAATTAACAAAAGTAGGCCTATATATTTTTTTCTAGTGTGTACTTTGCAAATTGATGGAAAATTACTTTTTAAAATGCACAATTTAATTTTTTTTTTTTTTTGGACGGACCGTTATTCGAAATATTCTGCACGACGAATTACGAATTATCCCAATTAAATATTGTAGGAGGTGCTTGTGGCTATGGCAACTTGTACAGCCAGGGCTACGGTACAAACACCGCAGCCCTGAGTACCGCCCTCTTCAACAACGGCCTTACTTGTGGGGCCTGCTATGAACTTACATGCTCTAGCGACCCTAAGTGGTGCTTGCCCGGGACCATCACGGTCACCGCCACCAACTTCTGCCCGCCAAACCCTTCCCTACCCAACGACGCTGGCGGGTGGTGCAACCTGCCACGTCAGCACTTTGACCTTGCCGAGCCGGCCTACCTTCAAATCGCCCAATACCGAGCTGGAATTGTCCCGATTTCTTTCCGAAGGTAACTAACTAATAACTCGGAATATTTCAAAAAAAAGAAAAAAGAAATCGTCGCAATTCAGACTATACTACTATCTATCTATCTGTCTGTCTGTCTATCTATTTGTCTATGATTAGTATGGTTATAGTGTAATAATAATGTGGCCGGTTGGAAAATAGGGTGCCTTGCCGGAAAAAGGGTGACGTGAGGTTCACGATCAACGGCCACTCATTTTTCAACTTAGTTTTGGTGACCAATGTTGGTGGCTCGGGCGATGTACGTGCCGTGTCGATTAAAGGGTCGAGGACAGGCTGGCAGCCCATGTCGAGGAATTGGGGGCAAAATTGGCAGAGTAACTCTTATCTCAACAGCCAGGCGTTGTCGTTTCAGATCACAGCTGGCGACGGAAGGACGCTCACGAGTTACAATGTGGCGCCAGCCGGGTGGCGGTTCGGGCAGACATTCCAAGGGGGCCAATTTTAATTATTATTATTATTATTATTATTTTGAGCTAAATTTGGTTACATATGGAGAAAATATAAGTATATATATACAAAACAAACAGGGGTTATTTTTTTTATTATTGGCATTGGTATTAAATTAAATTTTATGACAATAGGGGAAATTAAATTAAAAATGGAAAAAGGGATTGTACTATTGCAGTGGTGGCAGGTTTGCACCCTCTTATGACTTAATTAATATATGCATGTAATTATTTGTTTAGTTAGAGGAATTATTTATTTATTTTTATCTTTTTTTTGAGTTTTTCGTTACTATTTTGATGATCAAAATGTATGACTTATTTTAATGTTACTGAATATATGTGGGTATTGATTTTGATTTATGTTCCGCTGCCTTTTATTGTCATATTAAAGTTTGTGTCGCTGTTGTAGAGAGTTGTGAGGTGACTGGCTAACGAACGCTAACAAATACTAGTACAATTTTATATACACTGATGAACCATAAATTTTGAACCAATTCAATAAAGCCACAACTACAATGCTTTAATTCATAATGAATTTCACAACTAACGTAGGTAGATTAATAAATCAGTAGAAAATGTAATGAGAGTTTGTAAGGTAATTAAATAACCGAGGGTAATTATATTGTTCGAAACAAATTTCAACCAAAAACAAAGTTAGTGAAATTATTAATAACTAGTATACATGCACAAGTTATCAAAATAAATAAATATTATATATAAAAACTTTAATTAAATAAAATTTTATAATTAAATGTGATATAAATATTATATCACATTTATAATTAAATGGTTATAGTAATGGCTCTTTAGTTAGAATTTTATACATCAATAAAAAAGAACAATATATATTTTTTGTCATAATTAACCCCTCCAAAAAAGATAGGGAAATGAAAAATTTANTTTTCAATATAAGTATAGTCCGGCTCTTTTGTACGTGGTGTGTAGACCTTTGACACTTTAAGGGGCTTTTAAATGGACTACGGAGGCAAGAGAAGCTAGTTGGCAAACCAAGTTGAAGAAAGCGGCGCTCGCGGCAACCGTGTACTTCATTTGGAATGCGAAAAATAGGTTTATCGTAAGATCCAAACTCATGTTTATCGTACAATTTTTGCGTTATATACTAATGTGCTTGCCGAATATGAGAGGAAGGCCCTTGGTTTATAGAATTTTCCTTTTCATGGAGAGTTTTTGTACTCATGTTTTTCTTTGTATTGGTTTGAGTCTTAAGTGAGCAACCGACCTGTGGTTGTCCTCTCAGACTATTCACATGCGAGTGCGAAGCTGAGCATGTGGTTGCTCTTTGTGCTTTTGTTTGCCGATTATCGATCTTTGAAGTTCAGTTTTGATATATAAATTTACATTTACCAATCAAAAAAAAAAAAAATTGTGAATCAAGTATTACTAACCATGAAAGTTAAGTGAAGCTTAATTTTTTTAAAATGCAAATAAAATATAAAATGAGTATCATATTTTTATTATATCAAAATAAACAATTAGACGATATTTACTAGTATAAGTATCCTATTTGTTCACATAATACACATAATATGATGAATCGACCCAAAAACATTTAGGGGGTTGTATTCAATTGAGATTTTTAAGGACTTTTTAAAACTTTTTAAATTTGGTGACTTTTGTAGACTTTTTAAAACTTTCATGACTTTGGTAGACTTGTTGAGACTTTCAGAGAATTCTCATTAGTGACTTTTTAAGACTTTCATAATGAACTTTTTAAAACTTATTGAGACTTTTGTATACTTGTAGTTATAATATTATGTTTGGAAATGACACATTAATAAACGTATATAATAACTAATATCAAGAAAAAATAAATGGAAAAAAAATATTTTATATATTAATCCTCTAAAAATTTATGAATCAACTCATTGTTATACGAAATGAGTTACTCACTAACAAATTGTTTAGGATTTTTAGATTTATTAAAAGAGCAAATCAATCCGAGTTTCAACGAGCCGAACTATGGAATATACACATTGTCGAAAAACAGTAATTGTATTTTATAAAGTAATAAATAATTTTCAAAATAATTCAATATCAACAAATAAATTATTAGAAAATAAAATAATTTTATTAATATTAAAAAATAAACATTAACAAATAAAAAGAGAGAACAAATAAATTATTTGCAAGTGCAAACTATGGAAGCATTTAACCTTTAGAAAATCAAATTCGCAAGATAACAAAACGAAAGAATAAATGTATACATACATAAAATAACCATAATAAAAAATATATAAAATAAAGATCACGTTAAATATAAGTAATGAAAATAAAAATTATACAAGGTATCAAAATAAATGATGAAAACAATAAAGCATGAAAGTGATATGAGATATAAAGTCGTGTTAGAAAGAAAAAAGAAAGGGAGCGTGAAGAGAATCACATAAGTCTAGCAAAATCTCACCAATATTGATGAGATTTCTGTTGGGACTCTCTCTTTGTAATTTTGAGAGAAAAGTCTCTAAAAGTCTCACAATTTAAAAATTCTCACAAAGTCTTCATCTTTTGAATACAGGGTGACTTATAAAGACTCTCAAAAAGTTTTAATTGAATACCCTGAGACTTTTAATGACTTTTTAAAAGTCTTTAAAAGTCTCAATTGAATACATGTAAACTTTTCAGAAGTCTCTAAAAGTTCTAATTGAATACACCAGGATTCTGAAAGTCTTAAAAAGTCTCTAAAAGTTGAAATTGAATACACCCCCCTTAGACTGACTCATCTTTAGATGGGTGCGAGAAATTTTAACATCTTTTCTTTTCAAAAGTCATAAGCTACCATCTTAAAAGTTTTGTATTCACTAGCAATCTGCTCATGTGCTTTCATGAAAAGAAAAGAAAGAAAAACGATTATACAACATCAAAACAATATTTAACTGATTACACATGTAATGTAATGCATGGTTCAAGCCCCATTCCATTTCAGTTTATCACAACAGATGCAGTTTAATACCAGATTCACATTAATGATCTTCTGGCTTCTCATCTTTATTCTCATGCCTACTGAACAATTTCACAAACATTATTTTTCTAACACGTATACAATTTGTGAAGCAATAGGAGCTAACACGACTACTGGTTCCCAGAAATGGGGCTGTCTCGACCCTTCTTGAAATCATCCCAACCTCTGACCCACGACTGCCCACGAGTGGCTCGAGTCTCGGCTGCTGCATAATTGTCGAGATTGTTAGCCACCTTCTCGCGCACGGCCAAGAAGACCTGACAAAGATTTTTTATGGAGTTAGAAATCAAAAACAGAATAGCAGCAGATTTCGAACAATAACAAACGATAATGGAAATTATAGCCTAATTTTCTATTTTCTGGACTTACAGGATTCATGCTCACTGGCTCAGGGGGTTGCTCTTGACCGGTCAGCCATTTCCATAGATCTGGATTTTCCTGTTCTCAGTAGGAATGGAATATTTTCTATAAACATGAAAATGGAAATCCGGAAATAGCAAAAAGAAAGCAAAAAAAATGATGTCAGCATTAATAGTCGCTATAAGCAGTTTAGATCAACACAACAAAGGCATGCCAATTTTTCCAATTCATGGAATAGCTTCAACTGGTCATTCAAACACTGATAGAAGGAAAACATTGCGCATCATAGCTCATAGGATAATGACCCCAATCCGTTTAGCTGTAATCTAATAATTAACTCTTAGCACAAATACGTACAATCCACAAAGGTGAAAACTGTTGGTCCCATAACATAAGGCTAGAATACCAACAAACAACTCAATCTTCACTTTAAAATGAATTGCCAATCAATCAGACACACCAAATCAATACAAGACTCCGACTTTTTTATGTATTCGAACAATCATCCTAGGTACACAAACCATTCATCTGAGCTTGGCTTGAAGCCACTTAAGACGGCTTCACCACCTGCCCTAACTATATCAGGATGAAAGATCCACTCCTACATATTAATAAACATTATGAGTTCAAATTTCCATTCATAGTATACTTCCTCCAGTACTAGAGTTTTCTTTTCAGATTTTGTACCAAAAGTTCCACGACAAAGAAATTTCCAGTTCTATATAAAAAGCATGCCTAGAACATGGGAAAATAAATAAACAAACAAGAGTGCATACCAGGTCAAGAACATGAACAAGAGATTTGATTCCACTTTCATCCATGGACCGAATGTTATCCTCCACCCATTTCCCCAAAATCAGGTCAAGCTCAAGGTACCCTCTCTGTTTACTCCTATACAGAAGCCTAGAAAACCCAAACACATAATAAATAACTCAGAAACCACAATCACAAAAAGCTTCAAGCAAGAAATCAATTTTAAATGATAAAAGCCCGAATACAAGCAAGAGACAACCACGATTACCTGTTGAACAACCGCCTTTTGCTTTCTTCATTCGAGAGATCGATATCTAGGGATTGGCCGATTGCACTTGACGAGGTGAAATTGGAGAAGGAACCCAATACGGGCCTGAACAAGCCCGAAAAAGGAGTCAGAATATTTACAAAATCAATCGATAATATATAGTTATATACACCTGATAACGAAGTTGCCTAAAAATGCCGATAAAACACCAGAAAAAATGAAATTAGTCGGCGATACCTGTGGCGAGGTTGGGAGCTGACGAGCGACGTCTGATGGGAGCTGAGAATACGAGGGACCGTGGAGAAAAGGGCCCGTCGCATACCTGTATTATTTTTTAACCTTTTTTTTAAACAATAACTTCAATTAAAACTCAAATAAAGTTCACTGGTATCACCTACTCAAATCCACATATTGAGTAGATTACACAAGCCTTGCTAAACAGAAAAACAGAGGAAGAGTACAAAGGGGATAGAAGTTATTTATCCCAAGCAGATAAATAGAAATCACAAACAAAAGTTATCCCCCAAAATAGTATGATAAAAATATACCAATCTTACAATATGTGCCTAGTCAAATGCTGAATCAAACAAAAAAATAAAAATAAATTCTCAAAAGAAGTAAACAAATAAAATCACAGCAAGCAAAGCAATTAACATAAGTAGCCAATTTAGAAAATAGAAATCAAACTAAAAATCACGAATAAAAAAGCCAAAAGCTCCCCATTTTGTTCACCTCGCTGCTGTCGCCGGAATGAGCGGACGGTGGTGAAGTTAGGCCCGGTTGTGGTGGACGGCGAGGTAGACGGCGCGGGCGAGGTAGACGACAAACGGTCGTCAATGAGAGGGCCAGAAAAATTTTAATTGATCAATTTTTTCCGAAATAAAGAAAAGATTCAATCTTGCTGATGACTGATGAGCGTCGAGTGACGAATATGATTGAAGCAGAATATAATAGCAGATGATATAGATTTAAAAAATATGGATTGAATTTGAATCTGAGACTCTGAGTATGAAAAATAAAGATATTTGGAGAATCTATACTTATATTAAAAGGTATACCATTTATCAGATTTAGTATAAAGAAAAGTCAACAACATTAATTGCATTACTATTTCCATATTATACAATCTATACTTATATAAAAGGAGATTCTATTTACTATATTTACTATCCAGAAAAGTCAACTACATTAAATGCCATTACTATTTTGGTATTATAATATTTTATTTATTTAATTGATTTATTTATTTATTTTATTTTAAAAAGGTAAGTATAATAAAAAGATTTTAATAATAAAAAAATCAAATACCAAATAAAAATGTATACTTTGACTTTTTTGATTATATTTGTAATAATTAAATATTATTTGTTGAACAACAATAAGTAAAACTGTTACTTTCTCTTATATCAAGGGATAAATTTATATGCTAAAATTAAATTTTTATTAGAATAAATGTTTTAGTGAGATAATATATTAATTATTTTACAAGCTAGCTCTAACATGCTCATATTTAATATTTTAAAAGATGTAGAAAAAAACTTACTATTGTCTTTTAGACTTAAACGTTGATTAAAAGAGGTAAAAATTCCTAATTTTTTAGACTTAAACGTTGATTAACACCATAGATTGAGAGTTTATATTTACTAAAATTCCTAATTGTAATAAAAAAAATTAATTTTTGCTATATTTTAGAATATCTTTAAATTCATTATAAAAAAAAAACTACAATGAAAAAAACAAGTCAGGTATATATCGGTTTGTTGTACTCCTCAAATCACATTCACAATTTGGCTACAAGAAAAGGAAACTCATTGATTAAAATATTATTTTGTCAGTAATCTTAATGTACAAGAGACTTTAAGACTCCACTTGAATATTATAAAACTTTTATTGGACATTGTGCAATTTTCTTGCGTATTATAAACTTTTATTGAATATTGCATCTTATAATATAATATTCTCCAAATAAATACATCTCGTGCTTTGCACGGGTCACGTACTATATATATCCCGTACATTTTTCTTTATTCATGTATATAGTTATAAGCCTTGATAAATAACCTTAATATTGTGCACCCGGTGCATCGCACGGGCTCTGTACTAGTGGAGGATAAATAGCAGTCGCGCTCTTCCTTCTTGTTTGCAGAAACGCAATCTAATTAATTTTGGGCTTTAATTATAAAGTTCTTCTTTTTCCCCTAAGAGCATCTCCAATGCTATGGTGTTGAAAGGCAATAATTTTTAACACATGTCAATTGATGATTGTAATGTTAATCCACATAAGAATAATGTTAAAAGACTAAAAATTTGAATCAAACTAGTATCTCCAATGCACCAATTTGATAAGAATTTATTTGTATAGGTGGACCAATTATAATAATTCATTAATACAAGAATAATAAAAAATTAAACCAAATATAAAGTGAATTAATGAGTCATCATGTTTAACATGGTGTTAGATATTAGAAAGTGAGTTCAACATTGTTAACATTAAATGTCATCCACATCATCATGAAAGAGCTAATGACAAGATGCATTGGAGAATAAATTAGTAATAAACTTTCAAAAGTTGATGATATGGATAATTTTTTGCAATGTCAAAAGTCACATTGGAGATGCTCCAACATTCACTCGAAAAAATGTGGGCTGTGCTGAGATTGTTTGAACCTTTAATTATTGCGGAGTAGTCTAGACTAATGGAATGGTGAACCTTTTTATTTGGGCCAAGAGTGTAGATTATTAGTGGACTTGTACTGAATCTTATTATTGGGGCCAGAAATATGCATATATATGCATTGCATATAATTAGATCACTTTCTGTTCATATCCCTTCAATCAATTTGAATTTTTTCCCCCAAATTAATCATTTCTTAGCTCAACGAAGATGATGATCAGAATCAGAAGCCGCGACGGCCTTGAGCGCGTCTCGATCGACAACCCCATCGCCGCCACTGTCGGCCACCTCAAATCCCAAATCCAGTCCCAGCTCCGTGTCCCAATCCCAGCCCAAACCCTCTCCACAGACCAAACCCTTCTCCTCGCCAAAAACCCTTCCGACTGGACCCGATTCGTTGACATGGCCGACCCGAACACCCCTCTCTCTTTCCTCAACCTCGCCCACGGCTCCATCGTTTACTTAGCCTACGAGGGCGAGCGGGCCGTCGCCGGGCCGGCCTTCCACCCCGCGGGCTCCTTCGGAAAGAAGATGACCATGGACGACATAATCGCGAAGCAGATGAGGGTCACGCGCCAGGAGAATCCCCACTGTGAGCTCGTCTCCTTCGACCGGGACGCCGCTAACGCCTTCCAGCACTACGTGAACGAGACTCTCGCGTTTGCAGTCAAGCGGGGCGGGTTCATGTACGGCACAGTATCCGAGGCGGGAAAAGTCGAGGTGGATTTCATCTACGAGCCGCCACAGCAAGGTACTGAAGAAAATCTGATACTCTTAAGAGATCCAGATGAGGAGAAAATGGTCGAGGCCGTAGCCTTAGGGTTAGGAATGAGGCGAGTCGGGTTTATATTCACGCAGACTGTTAGTCAGGACAAGAAGGACTACACGATGTCTAGAGTCGAGGTTTTGCAGGCGGCCGAGCTTCAGGCGGAGGGTGATCTGAAGGAGTGGGTCACGGCCATTGTTAAGCTTGAGGTGAACGAGGATGGTGGGGCCGATGTACATTTTGAGGCTTTTCAGATGAGTGATATTTGCGTGAGGCTGTTTAAGGAAGACTGGTTCGAACGGGATGTGCCGGGGGATTTGGATCCCAAGCTTTCGAGGATGAAGAAGGACGTGGTGGTTGGGGTAAAGGACACGAGGGATGTGGATAATGATTTCTTTTTGGTGGTTGTCAAGATTTTTGATCATCAGGTTAGTGAAGATTTGTTCTGTTTATCGAGTTTGGTTTTTCCTGTGTTATCAGCTTCTTTGTGGAGTTTTCCTTGTCATATTGTCTGGGTTTGTGCTTGTACTATAGGTTAATAGAGCTCGTGTTTGATTCTGTTTTGTGATGTCAAAAGAAATTATATTTACAGCGAAGGGAAATTTTTCGGGAAATTATCGAGGGAATGAATACAGCCTAGACAATGGTGATGATATAATTGAGTTAACGTGATTAGACAATGAAAGAGTACTAGTTTTATTAGGGCTAATGGATCATATAGCGCCTTTGTGAAGTTGTTACACAAATTGATGATCGTTGAAGGGGCAGAAGTAGCTTCAAACTAGACTAGAGAATTTGGAAAAAATGTAAGAGAGAGACTGTCCCGTTATCTTGATTCAAATGGTGATATGTTGCCTTTTTCATCATGGTATAGCTCAGATGGGTAGACAATTTCTCTACTTTTACTGCATTTATCATGTATGGATCTCAGCCTGGAGCAGATTAACTGCATTCTTGTGTCATTACCTGTAAATAATGATGAGTGTTGAGATAAAATGCAAATGTAATATCTATATTTGAGTTGTGTATGTTGTAAAAGAGTGCCTGGTTTCTCATGCTTTAAGTTCTAATGATGTCACGCTATGGCTTCTGCTGAAATAGCGTAGGAATTTAAAATATCAAACCAGAATATTCAAATATATGTGTTTACATGTGTGTATAGTTGGATGAAGGAATTTATATATATATATATATATATATATATATATATATATTTTTGTTTTCTTGAGAATCCTGAGTTCTTCTAAATTTTAGAGTAGAGTGGCAGACAGCTGCCCTTGATGTAGTTAGTTTTCAGTTTTTCATGTGTCATAAGCTGATTATGAATTGGTTTAGATGATTAGCAGCCTATTCTGTATTCAAATGAAAAAACCAAATATGAAGAACATTTTGAGGTATTGTGTTTTGGCACCTCCTGAGATCTGTTTGTCTGAGATTATCTAAAGGGATGTGATAAAGCCTTTTCATGTAAATGTAATAAAGATACTTTCTCAAAATCAGAGGTATAGCTGAAAACAAAGATCTTATCTTGAAAATATGTTAGGGAGCCTCTTTACATTTTTTTCCTTTGCAAGTAATTTTTTCCTTTTACACCGAGGTTTTTCTCCTTTTTTTTTCGCCTTTTATTTACGTGGTGTTCGATAAATGTTACTTAACTTAACAAAGAACCTTCTACTGTGCAGGGCCCACTTTCGTCGACATTTCCAATCGAGAACAGGATAACCCCTTGGACAATGAGGTCATTGAAAACTCATCTCGATCGTGCGAAAAATCTGCCGTTTGTGAAGAGGATATCTGATTTCCACTTACTGCTTTTGCTTGCGAGGTTCTTAGACGTGAATGGTGACGTGCCGGCTTTGGCTGGGTGTGTGAGGGTACAGGCTACGGTGCCTGAGGGCTACCAGCTGCTGATCGAGTCCTTAGCCAGTGCCTCTTGACGCGTTTTACTGAAAACAAGCCTAACGTGTGGGCTGCTAAGGTTTTTTCAGTTCGAACTCGACTATCTTGTAAACTAATGGCCTTATTATATAGTGCTTTCATTTATCTGGGTTTTTACTGTTATTTATAGAGTTTATATATCTGTTGCTGTCTGTTATTTCCTTCTCCTGGTTTGGTACTTCAGTTCAGCCTGACAGTAATTTTTTATTTTTTTTTCCCCAAGTTGTGGTATTTTCCATGGGTCAATCAACTCTTTAGAATAATTTTTAGAACTCCTCATGAAGTTGACCTAATTACATAAAATTTCTATTTTAACCAAAAAATAAAAAACAATGAATTTTTTTTGCTTGATTATTTGACTACATTATATTAATCGTAATAAGATATTTTTAGTATTAAAATTCATATTAACTTCAATAATCGATTTGATCTAGCCAGTTGACCCATGTAAGTATTAAAATTTATATTATAAGGTTTTTGTTTTACTCTTTTATAAGTGATCTAAAAGTGATCCAACAAACATGGCAATAAGTCAATAACTATATCCAGTCAAACCCAATGGCCCAAAGATTTTTTTCGTAGTCAAGTTTAATTTTATGAAGTAAAATGATTTATGATTAATGTAATATTTTTCTTAGGAATTTAGACTTCTTTCTGAATATTTTTTTTTTTAAGAACCAAACAACACACTACATTTTACTCAGTTATCATCCATAAGTGAATTTTTTGATAGTACCATCTATTACACTACCATTAGTAATTTGAAACTGCATAGAACTTAAATGATTAATAAAGAAAATAAAATAAAGGCAAAGAGAAAGGAAAAGCTAATTGAGAATTTGAGATACACTGAAGCAAAATCCTTATCTTCACCCGTCATTTTAAAGAAAAAACAGATAATTTTTTTTCGCATGAGGAGAATAAGGTGTGAGAATTGAGCCATAAATTTGTGTCATTTGAATAACTAAACAAGATGGGCACAGTTAATGATATATTTTTTTTTTTTTTTTTTTTNTTCATATTTGGTGAGTGCCTCAAAAGTCAAAACTATCTAAATATAAAGAGGAAACTAATAAGAAAATCCAACAAACTATTAATTACTAGTGTTATTTTGTTTTTGAAAGGTGAGTGGGGAATAATAAATTGATTAAATACATAATCAAGGACATATACTCATACTTGACGGTAAGATTAATGCTAGCTAGTAATTCAAAATGCTAGTATTAGTCTGTCTAACCATACCATTAGGCACCCATTATTTTTTATTAAGAATGCACATTTGTACTATGAAATATGGTAATTATATTTGTATTGTATTTTGAAATGTGATATTTGAGTATAAGATATGCTATATTTGTTAAAAGATTATCACTGTATCATTAGACAATCTAACAAAAGACAAACGATTAAAATTTCCTTTATGTTTGCATGTTCATGAGAGAAGGCCCGGAAGCCGATCCAAGCTTTAAAATTCCATGACTAGCTTGGACTTTCACCATTGTTGGATCATGAAGAGATGGTCTAATTTTAGATATCTACTTATTAAACCGTCTCATACGAAAACTTGTGTTGATGCTCAAATATATGAAATAGTGGTGAGAGATTAGCCATATTCCTAAAATGGTTTATTAACCAATATAGTATCATTTTCTAAAGATTTTTTCGATGAGAAAATAGGGTATAATATTTTCAGATTGGAAAATTGTCGCAAAATACTTAAACTCACTTTTGTCGTTGCTCATATTAAATGGCTCGGTCCTCCAGCCGCTACCAAATCAATTAATTATCACAATATTAATTGTTGCGGAAAGTACAAGTTGTTGTAACAACATATATACCACTACAGAAAAAGTTACTTGGCACAGTCGCATAATAAATTTCAATAATCTTTAAGAATAACATTCAATTGTTGCAAATATTATTTTATTTTTAGGTACTTATTTAGCAATATATAATTTCTACATGGTAGAAGAATTATAAGCTGAAAGAAGGTGTTTATTACATAAAAGATTACTTGATTACATGTATTTCCCTTTTGTTTCTAATGTTAATTTACACTGATCTTTTATTTATCACATTTTATAAGAAATGAATGGAGGTCATTTGCACAAAAAAGGCATTTGATCAGGTCATTTAAATGAAGATCCCCTAAAAATAGAGGCCTAAGTGAGAAGTTTCAAACTTCCGGGGTCAAAACGTAAATAAGAACAATTTGAGGGTCCGAGACTCCAAATCGGCCGAGCTCACTCATCGTCTCCAAAAATATTCATTTGCCCCGGCGACCAAAAATCCCGGCGACAAATCTCCTTCCTCTCCATGCAGATCGACTTTCCACCTTAAGGAATTCGAATGACCTAATTTTCCCTGAACCACTTCACAACCACAAAGCAATCAAGATGGTACTCGACAAATCTCGAATTGAAGCGATCGTGTCAGTGTTCGTCGCTGTTCACCCTCACGAAACCTCTGCCTTGATCTACTCGACCTCTTCCTTCTTCTTCGTAAGCCATGATTTTTCAGTTGATGGGTTCGGCTTTTTTTGTGGTGGCTTTTCACGGGGATTGATATTTTCTCGCTTGCTGTAGATTTTGAGTGCGTATTTTGTGGTGCTTCCTTTGCGGGACGAAGGTGCGATTTCTTTGGGGTTGAAGAATCTTCCGGGCCTTTTCGTCGGGTCGTTGCTGCTCACGTTGGTGGCCGCCCCTGTTTCCACGCTCATTTTCTCACTGCCAAAGCTTTCTAAACGGAAGGTATGGATGATATTGTCAGCTAGAATGTTTAATCTTGAGGATAATTACCAATTTGATATTGATAGTTGTTTTGGTCGGATTATGGAGAGATTTTTTTCTTTCGTATTTTATTTTTTTTCTTCTGTTTGTTTTCAGGCCTTGGTTTTGATACACCGGTTTTTCAGCTTGTCTCTTGTTGTCTTCTTCATTCTATGGCTTCTTTCTACACCTGGAAGTTCAAAATTTGATGACAGGGCAAGTACATAACAGTGTGATTCTTCAATAGTTTGGTGTTAAGTCTCTTTTGATATTATACGGGCGAATCTGGATGTGTAGGAAATGCGTACATTGAACTCCACTATAAAGGGAGAGCTGAAGTTTGCATTTAATCAAACAATCCCTGCAAATTCTGCTGGCTGGGTGAACCACGGGTGGTTTTATATTGCAGTTAGGATTGCCTTGTTCCTTTGGGTAAAATGGTTTATTCTTTACTTCTTCAAATTTTGATACTATTTCAAGTTTTATGTCTAATAAGTAATAACTTTCTTATTCAAAATAACCTGTCAACAGATTGCTTTGCTTAATCTTATAACCATTTCATCTACATGGGCCAGAGTAATTGACGTGATGGACTGTGAGGTTCGTGTATACCTTTTCCGGTTGAAATATGATTTAATGCTTTATAATATTATCTCAACTGAGCGAAAATGTTAAATGATTGATTAAGAGCTAGAATCTCAGACAGGCAACTACTTGGTTTCTGTTTTTGTTTAGTCTAATTTATAAGGCCTTGTGGTTCATGTGCATAATTACTCTCTTGACTTCAGTCAGGTTCAAGATTGTTTGGGTTTATTGGAGCTGGTGCTACGCTGGGCCAGCTCATCGGTTCACTATTTGCCACTGGAATGGCTTGGTTAGGCCCCTGTATGTTCTCTCTCCCTCTCTCTCTCTCTCTCTCTCTCTCTCTGTTCTCTCTCTCTCTCTCTCTCTCTCTCTTCTCTTCTCTCTTTCTGTATGAGAGTGTGTTTGTTTGTGATTTTGAATTTGGTTCATTTAGATTTGCTCCTTGTTGCTGCGCTCTTGCTGGAATTTGCTGCGCAATCTTCAATAGGAATTCACAAGGACGAATCCCAGCATCAAGATGAACAATCTCCTTTGAGGTCATCTATATTTTTGGTCATGTTTCATTTTTAACAATAGGAAATATTTCCTCTGTTTTTTATGTCTTAGTATTATATAACCTCTAATGATTGAGCTGCGCAAATTTGTTATTGCTGGGTCATTTTTATTTATTTTTACATTCATGGACGATGTTATATAGTTTATTTGCATTTTTACTTAAATTTAATTTCATTTTCACAATCTTGTAATAGTACTATATTTGCATTTTTACTTAAATTTAATTTCATTTTCACAATCTTGTAATAGTATGTGAGTCTTCTCTTACAAAATTATTTAATGGAATTGATGAAGTAACTTTGTAGGGGTGAACCTCATGTGTGTTCTATAATTATAACTGTTTTTGGCTTGCAGAAGAGCTGATAATAATCACACGAGAGACCCCAGGGAACAAAGTTCGACTGCTGTAAAATCACCTTCCCCTAGATCTTCTCCTTCTACAGAGAAAACTCAGTTTTGGACAATACTGGAAGGACTCAGCTCATATTATCTTCAAGTTATTTACTGCAAGTTGCACTATTACTATGGCTCAGTGCAGTTGTGTCCTCTTTCTTCTACTTCCAGGTGAGAAAGCATTATGACATTTTAAGGACTATTATTACTCTTATAATATCCCCAGTTTCTCAGCTTTATAGATAAATCAGCTGAATGACATTTTATGACTACCAATAGAATT